CTGGGGAAGATGGAGAATTGGTGGAGCGAAAAGATTCCTTGCCTAGTTTAGCATGGTATAGAGATCAGGATTTTAAAGTGAGGTGGTTATTGTTAGAGAAGTATACTTGGTGTTGAATAGTTGTTGAAATATTTACGTAAGAACTCTAGTCGCATTTTTAATAGTAAATTTTGTAATGATTTCTGTGACTAATAAATTGGTTGATTTCTTTGCTGAAATCGAATCATTAAATTCCGCTGTAGCTAATTGCATTTGTGAAAATAAATTTTCACGAAAACAAATATACAGTAGTACTGTACTGTAGTTATTTTTCATGCCTGTCGTACCTTGATGATCTTCGTGTGTATTTTAAAAGTGTATAGTCGAGGCTGTTACACCGTTTGTACATTTATAAGCTTAAACCTCTCCATTTTTAATTTCATTCTGGAAAAGGGATTGTTTCCTATGATGTTTCTTGGAAGGTTTGCACCGAGTAAAAAATTAACACAATTATATTATGTATTATGGATTAACACTAATAGTGATTTTTTTTACTTCGTCAGAACTCTTAGAATTTTGCGTCCTCACAAATTTTGGGCTCGTCAATATACCACAGGTTTTTCATCATGATCTGTATCGCCCCCTCGTAGTGTAGCAATTTGAATTCGAATTATTCTTTTGATAAATTAGTCACGAATCGTGTTTCTTGCGACGAAAAGGAACCTTCATTTTTGGACTCTGTCCAAACTTATTTCGAAAAGGCAAGGCATTTTTGAATTCATCGATTTTTCACACAGAAAAACAGGTTGGATTGAGCAAAAGTGTTTCTTTTTCGGTTAACATCTAGGCGGCGAAGCTTAGTAATGTGTCGCCGAAAACCTTAGCCCATCTCAAAGCTCCTGATTGTACACTCCAAGTCACCTTTCCAATTGAGGTAAGATAATAAATAATTTGCAGATTGCTTATGATCGACAATTAATTCGGCAAATGAATTGTTAGGTTGGTGAAGATAGAGTTGAAGTTCTTACGGGTTATAGGGTTCATCATTCTCGTCATTTGCTACCGGTCAAAGGTGGAATCCGGTAAGAGATCATTATATTCCAGCTAACATTTCTATTATTCACTCGGAAAGCTAATATATTTTGTTGGGCATAGATTTTCGACTGAGGTTGAAGAGCAAGAAGTAGCAGCATTAGCTGCTCTCATGACCTATAAGTGCGCTGTTGTAGATGTTCCGGTAATCATTTTAAATTAAACAATTGCAAATGTCTCACTGAATAACTCATTTAATCCCCATAACTAAAGTTTGGTGGTGCAAAAGGAGGTATTGCTTTGGACCCTACTAAATTCACCGAAAATCAGCTGGAAAGAATCACACGACGTTACACCATGGAACTATGTCAAAGGGTAAAAAAGTAAAATAAGGTTTCATTTCCATTTTCATTTGTAATAACATCAATTCGATTAATTAAACAAGGCATTTATTGGCCCTGGAGTTGACGTGCCTGCACCCGATGTAGGCACAGGTGCTCGCGAAATGTCATGGATTATGGATACCTACAGACAATTTCATCCCAATGAAGTAGTCTCCCTCGGGTGTGTTACCGGCAAACCTAA